CCAGCATCTCTGACGTACACCCTAAATGCCTCCCTCACATGAGCACAAGAAAACACAGAAGAGGAGTCAAGAGGCTTCATGGTGGCGGTAATCAAATCAGCACCTCTTATAAATAACCTAGAAGTTCATCAAGAGGATGGGTACGTAAGTTGTGGTGACGTCATACGGTGGACTGTATGCGCCGGGAACACATGCATTGCGGAGCTACGGGGGAGGCCACAGGGCATGTACCGTTGAGCCAGGCTGCCTGGGTTCAAAACCTGGTTTTGGCCCTCGATAATATCTTGGGTAAGGTACTTCACCTCTTGGTGCCTCAGTTCAGCATTAAATTACTGTTTGTAAAATGCTTGGTGTAGTGCCTGCTGCGTGTTTGTTAAATAAATGTGTATCGATGTGGATGGCTCACAAATAAATGGGTCAGGGCAAAAAAGCAAATGAATGAGGAATCGTTTGGCTGCTGGAAACCCACTCAAGAGTTCTTCTCGTGTAAAAGGTCAACGATAAAAGGTACACACATTTTGGATTCTTTTCTGTCCCACTCTGCGTACGTGCCACTCCACGGTGGGTGCACACTCCAGCGTGTGTGTGTGTTGTCCGTGTGTGTCTCTCTCACACTCCAGCCTCCCTCCTTGCACCTCCCTGTCCTCCCTTCTAGGTTCTTAGTCCCCACACCCTGGCCATTCTTACTCTGGTTGTGGGGGAGGTGGAGTAATGAACTCGGAGACCAGATAAGGTCACCTAACCTTCAGGTGTCTGGGCCCTTCTTGGCTCCCCTGGAAGAACCTGTTGGGGCAGCAAGTGGCTCCTCTGGAAGAACCTGTTGGGGCAGCAAGTGCTCAGCTAACTGCAGGGTTGCCTTCTGAGGAGGGCAGGGCTAGGGGAGCCTAAGACAGGAGCCTCCCGGGAAGGGAGCCTGGCCGCTGGCCAGGGGAAGGCTGCCTCTTCTCTCTGGACGGACCTGGAGTCTGGACCGTGAGGGAGGGCACCGGGCATGCCTCACTTGGCCACCTGTCAGGCACGCGGGCTTCTGGGAGGAGGGTGCACCTTGGCATGTTGACGGCCAGCTGGGGTCCGAAGTGGACGTGGTGGGTGACGCCCCTTTCTCTCTGGTCTGTAATGCCCACGTGATCGGGGCTGGGCACCTACTCCCTGGGGACGGTGGGGTGCTGCGGAAGGGCTGCAGGAGCCAAGGGTGGAGCTCAGCAGGTTGTTGGTTGCTGGGGTTTGAAGTTCCCTGGGAGATGTTGGCTGGGCCGGATGTACCCCAAGCCCAGAGCTCAGGGAACCCCAGGCGAGGCATGGCCACTCCAGCTTCACAGCCTCCCACCGAGGCTCTGCCTAAATCGCTCTCGTTTTTCTGTCCTCCTGTCATTCTTCCTTCTCTGTAGTGCTTCGAGTCCTCATAGGCAGGATCCTGGTAGGATTTCCCCTGCTTCCCCTCAGCACATACTGGGCTGTGTGCAAGGCCAGCTGGACTGGGAAACACCTTCGGTGCTTGTCCTCGAGTGTCAAAACTGGTCTGTTTAGGTTAAGCTCCTGGAATGTAGGAATGGAATCTGTGTTTTTTTGTTTTTGTTTTTGTTTTTCTCAGTGGTGGCGTGTGTCCAGGGGTGGGGTTTCTCTGCCCACCTGGACTGAGAACTTGGGGAGGACTGCGGTCTTTCCAACAAGGTGTAGGCCCCTAGGAGGGAACCTAGGGAATGCTTGTTGGGGGACACTGCTACTTGCATACGTGGTGCCTTTGGGGGCCAGAAGTCGGTTTGGCTGGGGCTCAGGGATGGGGCGAACCACTTGCCTTGGTATCTTGGAGGTAGGCTCCCCTCAGGGCCCCTGGGTATGGGGATACTGCAGACGCCCCATCTTGGGAGCACGGCTTCGTCTCCTGCTGGGATGGGTGAGTGGGTGGGGGTCAGGGGAGCCTCCTGTGCACGGGTGCCCTGGCCCTGTGAGCAAGCGCGGGCAGGAACTCTGTGTCTATTAAAAGGCAGAGGCTGCCTTGTGTTTGGAGCGTTGCCAGAGGCTATAAATAGCTGAGTGTGTGCAGAAGCAGAGCAGCAGGGAGGAAGGGGGAGGCCCTGGGTTTCCAGCTGGCAGCGAGCTTGGGTGTGGTTTGGGAGGGGCACGGAGTCTCCCATCCTCCCCAGGTCTTCCTTGGGCTCTGAATGCAGAGCTCCTAGAGGTGTAGGTGTGTGAGCCCTCTGGGGGACTTGTGCTGTGAAGGATTGTCACAGGCAGCAGGAAGGGCTGTCGCTGCTAATACAACAGCTAATGTGCCAGGCATGATCCTAACTACCTTTAAAATGTATTAACTCGTTTGACTCTGGAATAGCCCTAGGAATTAAGTGGACTTATCATCCCCTTTTCACACATGAGGAAACAGAGGCATAGGGGTAGATTGGTAACTTACCCAGGGTCACACAGCCCGGAAGTATCCGAGCTAGGATTTGGACAAAGTCGGCCAGCTCGAGGCTGCCTTATTCTCAGTTGTCTGTAGGAGGAGCTGGTCAGATGAGGGTCCAGTTATATCCTGAACCCCTGAGCCTTAAGATTTGGAGTTCCCAGCCCTGTCCACTTGGGTCCTGCCCATGGTAAAGGCCAGAGGAGTCCCTACTTGGTGAGTGGCCTTGAAGAGAGGAGCTGGGCCAGCCTTAGGCCATTGTCAGTGTTTTGGCTCCTAGGCTTGCAGAGGGGCTTGGTGCGATTGTCTGCATGGAGATGGTAACTCCCCTGAGGACTCTAGAGCTTGGGCTGCGGGCTGAGGCCATGCCTCCTGTCGTCCCTGCCCTTCGAAATCCTGCCCTAGCCAGGTGACAGCTGTGTCCTTCTGTCTGTTCGTTGGTCCTTCCATCCATCCATCCATCATGTGTCCGGAACTAGTTCTTGTACTGAAGGTGGTCAAGCCTTCTGCTTTCATCAGCCTTGCAGTCTCATGGGGGAAAGCTGACGTTTAAAAAGCAATTGTCAAGTACATTTATAGTGTCTTATTTTATTTTACGCGAGAGTGTGCATGCGTGCACATGAGTGGGGGGTGGGGTGGGGCAGAAGGTGAGAGAGAGAATCTTCAGCAGACTGCATGCTCAGCACGAAGCCAGATTCAGGGCTCGATCCCACGACCCTGGGATCATGACCTGAGCCCAAATCAAGAGTCCGAGAAGAGCCAGAATTTAAAGAAGGTGAGGAGGATCTTGCAGCCAGAGGTAGCCCTCGTGCTAAGCCCAGAAGCTGAGAGTATTTAGGAGGCTGGCAGAGCGGTGTGCCGGCAGTGGGGGAAGCAAGATTGAGGGGTGGCTGGCACCCCTATCCGCAGCTCACTCCATCCTTTCAGCGTCTCCCCTTAAACCTTATACGCTCGATGAAGGGCTTGGCTGGGGGAAACCAGCGTGCACCCCTGCAGAAGCCCCTTTGTAGACCCCGAGGCCTTTCCTGTAGACCATGCTGGGTCTCAGCTGCCTGGGTAGTTGGGAGACCACTCTTTTCCTTCTTACAAGTGTCCTTGGATGCTCAGGGGTGCGCGGGTGGCTCAGTCGGTTCAGCATCCGACTCTTGGTTTCAGCTCAGGTCATGAGCTCGCGTTCATGAGCTGTGCATGCAGCTCACACTGAGCACGGAGCCTGCTTGGGACTCTCCCTCTCTTTCTGCCCCTCCCCTGCTCGCTCTCTCTCTCTCTCGAAATAAATATACATATAAAACAAAACAAAAAAACATAAAAATAAAAATAAAAAGGCTAAGTGCCCTTGGGTGCCCAGAGCCATGGCTAGACATTGGCTTTCTGATAGGATGACATTCCGAGCCCTTGGGTCCTCCTACCTGGAGCTTCGAGATTGGCCGCTTGCCCCTGGCCTCCAGAAGGAGACTCTTGTCCCTGCAGAGAGATGCAGAAGGGGCAGGGTGACTAGAGAATGACCACCCCTGCGGTGGAGGGGGGGGTCCCTTACTGCCTGACAGCCAGTCATTGTCCTCCCTGGGTGCACTATTTGCTCACAATGGCCAGTATAGGGGTGTGAGGGAGGCTTCGGGCTTTTGGACTCTGGGCACTTAGCTCTTCAGCCGGGGTTGGGGTTGGGGTGGGGTCTTCTCTCCTTGGCCCTTCCAGCCAGCCTTTCAGGCTGATGGTGAAAAGGGCTCCTGGCTGCTGGTGGGCTGGCTGACTGTCCTTCCATGGGGGTGACTCTGACCGTTCCTTCCTCCTTCCTGGGGTGGGAATACCAGTTAGGGGTGGCATCATCAGGTCCCTGGCCCACAGTAAGCCCAAGAAGAGTGGAGAGGTTAGTGGATGCTTGGTGCTGGTTTCCTCTCGGACGTCTGTGTGGTATTTTGACAGTGAGGTTCATCAGGGGTGCCCCGTAAAGGCACTCCCAAACGGAGTTCTGGAGAGCTCTTCAGCTCAGGTGTTCAGGTCTAGGGGCCATAATCCCTTTCCTCCTTCCTCCTTCCTCCTTCCCATTACAGGGCCTGGGGGCAGTGGGGCAGATTTGAGGACTGGAATGGGCTTGCTTGGGGGAGGGATGGTGAGAAAGGTAGATTGGGTGAATGTTTGAGGCCATGTTTGAAGGAAAGAAGTATTTGAAGGGGCAGTTGGGGGTGGAAGTGCCTGGCCACCCGGCTGGCACTCATGCCAGAGGTGGAAGAGGGCATGGAATGCTGGGGGTGCTCACAGGGGTCTTCAGGGGCCAAGCCCAGCTGGGAGCCAGCCCTTCTTCTGCTTGTGGTGACTCTGGGAGCCTTACCCTGAGCACGCCGGCCTCATTCTTAGGATCTTCTGCTGCCCTGTTGAGCACCAGCTGTTGTTGCTGGGTGCAGGAGGGACACTGGACTGGAGGGTCCTTACTTTCCATTCAGTCTGGATGGTGTGTGCATGTGTGTGTTTGGGGGGGGGGGGGGGCATCCGGCCGACACCCGCTCACCACCCAGCCTCCCTCCGGGTGGCCCGGGACCCAGGACCGGTGCAGGGGCCTGTGGACCGCGCGGCCGTTCTCTCACCTCTCGCCTTCGGGGCACAGGTTCCGGGCGTGGGGAGGCCGAGACCCGGGAGTGCATTTACTACAACGCCAACTGGGAGCTGGAGCGCACCAACCAGAGCGGCCTGGAGCGCTGCGAGGGCGAGCAGGACAAGCGGCTGCACTGCTACGCCTCCTGGCGCAACAGCTCGGGCACCATCGAGCTCGTCAAGAAGGGCTGCTGGCTGGACGACTTCAACTGCTATGACAGGTGCGCTGGAGCCCGGCCTCCCCTACCCCCCCACCCCCCGCCCCCCAGTCCCGCCGGAGCCCTCCTGTTGCTGCAGTGCTCACTGGGCCTCGGGACGTCTGTGAAGGCAAGCCTGGCATTTAAGGGTAGGGGGAGACAAGGGCCCCTCCAGACAGCGTGGGCACGTAGGGATGCCGCCTGGGTCCTCGCTTTCCCGCGGCTGTTTTGCCTGCCTCAGTCTGAAGGAGGGCTCTTCGCTGTGGCCCCTTGGCTATTCCTGCTCGACTTTGGGCCCCACTTTAGGGCAGGTGGGTTCACGCTGTCCCCTGATGGTTCTCCGTGAGCTTTTCTGTCTGTGGGGAGGGGTCGGCTGCGTGGGCCCCGGTGAGCTGCGTGTCCCTCCTCTGAGGGGTATCTGGGAAACTGTGTGCCTCCAGGCAGGAGTGTGTGGCCACCGAGGAGAACCCCCAGGTGTACTTCTGCTGCTGTGAAGGCAACTTCTGCAACGAGCGCTTCACCCACTTGCCAGAGGCTGGGGGCCCAGAAGGTGAGGGCCGCGGGAGGGCAGGCTGGGGCCTCTCCTTGGTCCTGGAGCTCTCGTCTCAGCTCCCGAGTTCGGTGGGGGAGTGACCGCGGGGCTCTCTGGTCTGGCCCCCGAGGCATGTGGGTGGGCGGGCTGTGTGACACAGGGCTCCGTGTGTCCCCCAGTCACGTACGAGCCACCCCCGACAGCCCCCACCCTGCTCACGGTGCTGGCCTACTCGCTGCTGCCCATTGGGGGCCTCTCCCTCATCGTCTTGCTGGCCTTCTGGATGTACCGGCATCGCAAGCCCCCCTACGGCCACGTGGACATCCACGAGGTGAGATGGGGCTGGCTCAGGGCAGGGCAGGGGTACAGGTGGGGTGGCAGGCCAGACCCTGTTAAATCCTCAATGTCCCCCAGGACCCTGGGCCTCCACCTCCGTCCCCTCTGGTGGGCCTGAAGCCACTGCAGCTGCTGGAGATCAAGGCCCGGGGGCGCTTTGGTTGTGTCTGGAAGGCACAACTCATGAATGACTTTGTGGCTGTCAAGATCTTCCCGCTCCAGGTGAGGGTTTGAGGGACTCCCAAATCATCCACTGCTGTGGCTTGAGCTACCCCACCCCAGGGCAGTCCGGGCCCGTGCAGGTGGGACGAGAGACAGGTGGGCCCCATTGAAATTTTCTCGTGGGGTCAGGGTAGAGCTTTGCAAAACCTCGATCCGTTCTGGTTTGCAGGGGTTTGTTCTTGACATCAGGTTCTGCTTAGAGGCGTTGGACATCAGGCTACCCCAGCAGTTGCCCAGGACACTTAGCAAAGTGAGGCCTGGCTCTGCATCTCGTGTGGTGGGTGACACTGGGCCACTCGCTCCCCTCCCTGGGCTTCAGTGGCCGTGTTTGTAAATGAGGTGCTAGCCCCGAGCGATCTCAGGGATCACTGTTGGCCGGTGCTCTGGGGCCCAGCCCGTTCCTGGTCTTCTGCCCGCCTCCTTTACGGAGCCGAGGCTGGGAAGGAGGGAGAGTGGGTGGGTACGCGGATGGCGTGGGGGTGGCAGTTCTGCCGCAGGGTGGTGTGGCCGCAGTGGAGTTCAGCTGCATCCCTGCCTTAGGACAAGCAGTCATGGCAGAGCGAACGGGAGATCTTTAGCACACCCGGCATGAAGCATGAGAACCTGCTGCAGTTCATCGCCGCTGAGAAGCGAGGCTCCAGCCTTGAGGTGGAGCTGTGGCTCATCACAGCTTTCCATGACAAGGTGAGTCATGCCTGCGGACGGGGGCTCCCGAGATGAGGTGGCCTTCCGCCGTGAGGTGACCCTTCGTAAGTGCAGACATAAGAACTCCTAACTCTGGGATGAATTCTTATGAAGAAGCATAGCGCCTTCATGATTAATAGCCGCTGACACCCCTCCCGCCCCCCCAAGCCCTCTTGGCCTCATACACCTTCCGTGTCAGTCCCAGCCTCCCAAGGAGAGCAGCCTGCTGCCCCTGGTCCACGAGACCCTCCTCCCAGGGCCGGGCCGGGCCGGGCCGGGCCGGGTCCTGTTCTGTACCCAGAACCTGTGCCCCAGTTCTGTGCTGTCTCCTCTAGGGCTCCCTCACGGATTACCTCAAGGGGAACATCATCACGTGGAATGAACTGTGTCACGTGGCAGAGACCATGTCAAGAGGCCTCTCATACCTTCATGAGGATGTGCCCTGGTGCCGTGGCGAGGGCCACAAGCCGTCTATTGCCCACAGGTACCTGGGTCAGCAGTTGCCTTTCCTGTGCTTGGTCTGGAGCTGCAGAGAGGGCTGGAGGGTGAAAGCAGGGCCTGGGGTTGGGGTGGGGAGTCTCAGTTTAATAAAGGTGCTTAGCTGCTCTGTGATGGGCCTACTTGCCCCTTCCCCTGCCTTCCACCCGTGTCCTGGGCCTGGCGTGGCCTTGAGGGTGGTTTTCTCTTGCCCTCTGGTGGCCACATGAGGGAATGCTGACTCCGTCACTTTGGTTGGAGGGTTGGTTCAGCAGTTCTCAGACTTTTTGGTTCGGATATCTTTACGTCCTTTTTTTTCTTTTTTAAATGTTGACTTATTTCTCTTGAGAGAGCGCAAGCGGGAGAGTAGCAGAGAGAGAGAGAGAGAGAGAAAGAGAAAGAGAAACAGGGAGGGAATCCCAAGCAGGCTTCTCACTATTAGTGCAGAGCCTGACATGGGGCTCGATCTCATGACCTGTGAGATCATGGCCTGAGCTGAAATCAAAAGTCAGATACTTAACTGACTGAGCCACCCAGGCAGCCCTAGGATCTCTTTATATTCTTAAAAAAAAAAACCTGTGTGTGTGTGTGTGTGTGTGTGTGTGTGTGTTTATTTTTTTGAGGGAGAGAAAGAGAGAGAGAGACAGACAGTAAGCTGGGGAGGGGCAGAGAGAGAGGGAGAGAGAAATCCCAAGCAGGCTCTGTGCTTTCAGCACAGAGCCTGACGTGGGGCTTGAACCCACGAACTGTGAGCTTATGACCCGAGCTGAAAGCAAGAGTCGGGTGCCCAACTGACTGAGCCACCCAGGTGCCCCTCTTTACGTTCCAAAGAAGAACGTGTGTATATGTGGGTTATGGGTATTGGTATTTGCTGTAGTGGAGCACACACATTCCATTAAGTGTCGGTGATGACATCACAGGTATGCAGCCTCTGGAAAACTCTTCTCCTGAGAGAATGAACTCACAAGAAGACAAACGATGGGTTATGAATGCGAAACATTTTGATCTTGCGGTTCCCCGGAAACAGTGGCAGGGACTCTTTGAGGTCCTGGGGCTACCCCTTGACACCACCGTGTTGACTCGTCATCGTAGTCCTTGCTAAACGTAGTAGGCACTGTTCCAGGTACCAGGCCACATCGGTCTCGTTACCTGAGGAGAGTGTCCATGAGCCACTTGTCGTCTGTGAGATAGGTGTTGTTTTCCCAGCCCCGTCGTACAGAGGAAACAACAGTAGTGCAGGGAAATTGGGTATTTTGTCACCAGACCTACAAGGGATGGGAACGAGCCTTGGAGTCCAGGAATCCAAGCTCAAGGGTCCCTGGTGGTAGTAACAGCAATGACATTGAAGGTTGACAGTACGAAACTGCAATTTTTGTAGGTCAAAAATGGTTGAATGTTGACTCTTCCGTATGGTTCAACCTAACGATAGTACCCAGTAAGTGTGCCGGGGTGGCCCTAAGTATGTGTATCTCCCACTCCCTGAGTTTAATCGTCACAGCAAGACTGAGACAGGTACAGGGGAGACTGAGGACCGGAAGTGTCTCTGCTAGTGAGAGGTGGCGCTGAACTCACATGCCGGCACCCTGCTCTTCCCGGCCTGGTGGCGGGCCTGAGCCCTCCAGGGGCCTGCACAGAAACCCGGGCAAGTTCATTAACCTCGTCACTCACATCCCGCATAACGTACATTCTTCCCAGAAGACTTAATCCCGGGCCGGTATGCCTGACCTCGGCCACTCTGAGAATGTAAGGGCCAGCTTTTGATACCGTGGGGACTGGAATGGGGTCTGCCCAGCCGTTGCGGGAGGTGTTGCTTTGACAGGTGTGGCAGAAGTGCAGTTAGAGATGCTCACACTGCGGGGGGTGAAGGGTCGGAGGATGTCCTAGAGCTGCCTGCCTGTGCGGCTTCATAAAACTCCAGCCTGGTGCAGACCCTGACCCCCAAACAGGGTGGGGTGCCCTGGTGTGCGGGCTCTAGAGCATAGCCTCCAGTATCTCAGGGGTCACGGTGGGGATCCAGGGTCAAGGTAGCTTGGACCACAGTGTTCACCTTCATCTCGGTCTACTTGTCTCCACAGGGACTTTAAAAGCAAGAATGTATTGCTCAAGAGCGACCTCACAGCCGTGCTGGCTGACTTTGGTCTGGCTGTTCGGTTTGAGCCAGGGAAACCGCCGGGGGACACTCATGGGCAGGTAATAAGCCTCAGGGGGGTGCAGGATGGGGGCTGGCACAGGAGCGGACCCTGCCCTTCTCATGCCCAGCTGGCAAGACACAGGGGCAAGGGCACTGAGCTCAGAGCTGTCCGAGAACTCCAGGAACAACGCTCGTTTTACCAGTGGGGAAAGCAAGGCCTGGAGGGCGGCCTCGCCTCGGAGGCCGGTTTGTCAAACATAGCTGCTCCATTGGGGTCAGCTCTCAGCCTTGTAGCCTCGGTCTCTGTCTCTTTCAGCGGAATTACTAAGCAGTATAAAGTAGAAGGAACTATACTAAGAATCCAAAAACCTAGAAAAAGTAGCTAACAGTTAAGCCTGAGGAAATCATCCTAAAACAACTGCTGTAAATATCTTTAATCTTTACCCTCTTGGTTTTTGATCTTAATCTCGGTAAAGCAGACACTGTCTAGGCAGCCCCTTGTGCTGGCGGAGTAAAGAGGCAGCAGTTCCAAATTAGATTATTGTTGTCTCGAGTGTGATATTTTTAAGTTATTCCTGAGGTATAATAGACACCATGACTTCTTGTGACCTCCCCGTGAATGTGGCGAATCACGGATTGTCCTCCCTCGTGGTGTGGTCTGAATGCTGCCATCCTGGCCCCGTCTGGTGCACTCAGGAGGTAGCTCTCGTGTCCAGCTGTGAGTACGTTTGTGTGTGGCCACTGGTACCCTCTCCTGTCCTCCTCTAGGTGGGCACGCGGCGTTACATGGCCCCTGAGGTGCTTGAGGGAGCCATCAACTTCCAGAGAGATGCCTTCCTGCGCATCGACATGTATGCCATGGGGCTGGTGCTGTGGGAGCTTGTGTCCCGCTGCAAGGCCGCGGACGGTGAGTGGGACGGGAGCCCCGGGCATGCAGGGCGTGGGACGGGGAGCAGCGAGTCCTTGGGGTGACCCTGCTGGGCTCTCTCTCGCCCCCCCCAGGACCCGTGGACGAGTACATGCTGCCCTTTGAGGAAGAGATCGGCCAGCACCCGTCACTGGAGGAGCTGCAGGAGGTGGTCGTGCACAAGAAGATGCGGCCCGCCATTAAGGATCACTGGCTGAAGCACCCGGTGAGGGGCCTGGGTGGCAGGTGACTCTGCAGGGGCACAGAGAGGGGAGCCCCTCCATATGTGACAGGAACCTGAGGTCGAGGGAGCATGGGATAGAGAGGATGCCTCAGGGGCAGCCGGACAGTCCTCTCCTCCCCTGCCTGGTCAGAGGCCACTTAGTGCCCTGCCTCCCTTCCACGGGAAAGTATCTGGGGAGGTTTCGTGCTGGCCGGGGAGGTGGCTCTGGGTTTGGGCCCAGAGTAAGGGGGCCTGACCGGTCCATCAGGGCGCCCCCATGTGGACCATTTGTGCAGGGGAGCCGACTGGCCCTCGCCCTGACGCGGTGTGGGTTTGAATCCTGGATCTGCCAATCAGTAGCTGGGTGACTTCTGGCAGCTTTCTTTCTTTCTTTGTTATTTATTACTTATTATTATTTATTATTTGTTTATTATGTATTATTATTATTTATTTATTACTTATTATTATTTATCATTTATTTATTTTTGCTTTATTTCTCTGAGCCTTTGCCTCCTTAGGGTAGTAGTAGATTTAACTGGTTACTGTAAATGGCTTGGCAGGATACTTGTCGCGTAAATGCTTAATATGGACTAGCTCTAATTAAATATTCTCTGTTCTCTGCCTTCATTATTTTCTGGGCACGGGCTGAGCCGTGAGTCTTGGCTCCTCCAGTCTGGGGATACTGTACAAAAGACCCCAGCAATGTAAGCCATTTCCCTCTTGGAAGGTTGTTTGCCTTTAGCTCCTTTGAGCTCCTCCCTCTGCTCACCTCAGGGTTAATTTAGAAACAGGATAGCCTTGAGGCCATTGGAGGCTAGCACCCTACCCTACATACCATCAGGGGTCAGGCTGTTGAGGCCAAGTTCAGCTGCAGTGCTGCCTCCTGGAACCTCTCAGAAAACTGAGACATGGGGAGATGTAGGCTGGGCCAGAGCCCATGCCTTCTGCCTCAGTCTCCGAGGGCAGACATGCTGGGGTGGCTGGTCCAGTTCCCTGATGAGGAGCCCGAGGCCCAGAGAGGTTTCGGGGTGGCCTGGTGCTGGGTAGGCCAGAGTCCCTGGATGTGGGCATTTGCCTTTCCTGGCACCACTCAGTGTGAGCCAGCATAGGGTGTCACGCTACATGCCCTGGACTCTCAGGAGGGGTCCAGGGGTTGTAGGAACTTGGGTGGGATGAAGCCCTCCTGTGGTCCCCACTGTGACTGAGGCTGCACTGTGGGTCCTTACATGATTTGGGATTCACATGGATTTTGTTTGAATATCACTGCCCTAAGGCAAGCAGCTGTGTCTGTCCCAAGAGGGGCCTGGGTTCCGCCTCCCCCCCCCCCCCCCCCCCCGCCATCCTATGTTGAGGCTGTGGAGGGAGGCCAGTAGGGTCAGGATGGCGGCTGCTGGGTGGGAAGGCGTCCTGATTCCTGCGGTCTCCCCCGGGCCTCTGCTAGTTGACCTGCTGCTGGGGCTGGGACCAGGGGGCTCTGCCTGACCCTCGGTCACATCTCAAGTTTGCCTGTCCCCCATGCTTGTCTTCACTGAGGGGCACCGTCAGTAACAAGGCTGTCCTCTCCCTCTCCCTGCTGACGTGCAGGGCCTGGCCCAGCTCTGTGTAACCATCGAGGAGTGCTGGGACCACGACGCGGAGGCTCGCCTGTCTGCGGGCTGCGTGGAGGAGCGCGTGTCCCTGATCCGGAGGTCGGTCAACGGCACTACCTCGGACTGTCTTGTCTCCCTGGTGACCTCCGTCACCAACGTGGACCTGCCCCCTAAGGAGTCGAGCATCTAAGCCCAGGACACGAGTGGATCTGAAGAGGAAAGGAAAAAAAAGTTGTGTTTTGTTTTGGAAATCCCGTAACACCAACAAACACATAAAATGCAGCTGCTATTTTACCTTGACTTTTTATTATTATTATAATTATTATAATTATTATTATTAATATTATTTTTGGGATTGGATCAGTTTTTACCAGCACATTGCTCTACTGTATCGCAAACAGCGGGCACGTCAGCAGGCGTTGAGGTGCTGAGCTGTGAATGCAGAACCAGCGCCATGCTGAAGAGCCTCAGCCACCTCCTGTCCCTTGGGGTTCATTTTTCCCGCTTTCTCTTTGTCTGTTGTCTCAGAATCTGTGACACAAAGAAACCCATCTCCTGTCTTAGGAAACTTAATGCTGCAAACTCTACCTGGAGGAACCTTTGAAGACTGTTACATAAGAACACACCTTCCTCCGAGGAGGACTCTCCCCCTGCCCTCACCCCCTTCTCCGCTCCCTTTTATTGTTTCTCTCCCTTTTTAGACAGTGAGTTTAAGAAACAGCAGACGTGTCTTTCACGGATTAACGGGTGTTGCCCTGACCGAGGCGGAGCTGGGCTGAGGATGCGGATGGTTTGGACCGGAGTTGGAAGGGGAGGGCAGAGCTGGGGATGGGGTTTGGAGCAGAGCGACACTGGACTCGGGCACACCCGGAGCAACATCCTTTGCTAGGAGGCTGCTTCTCAGGTAACCAGGAATCGAGGGGAAGGACCGTGTGGAGGCCGCGCGCTCACAGCCAGAGCGGGGTCTGGAGAAAGCCTGAGAGCGGGTGCGGCTCTGACCCGTTTTCTCCCCCTGCCTCGGGCTGGGGCGCTGGACAAAACATTTTCTCTGCCCTAATTTTAAGGTTAGGTGAGGGTAGAAATCCTCATGCTTCAGTGACTACGTTCTTCTTAAGACGATGCTGTAAATACGTGTAATGGAGGAAGAAGTTAAAACACAGGGCTTCCTCCCGGAACAGTTCAGGGAAATGCCCACGGGGCGCCCCGCACAGCCAGGGCAAGAAGATTCCCTGGGTGGGGCTGCCACCTGAGAGTCCTGCGGTGCTGGCTCTGCCCTGTGTGGTGACACTGCTGTCCCTTTACGTGGCTCGTGTGCACGGCTTTCTCCAGACCCCTCGAAGAGGTGCATATTCTAAGAACCGTTTCTCTATTATGCCATAACCTTGCTCTAGTCAGTGAATGTTCCTAATGCTGCTGTTTCAACATTTGAATTTTTTTAATTTATGAAACATGCAAATTTTTTTAAAAACGAAACACACGTCCGCATATACACACATGCTTTGCTATGTGGCTTCCGAGGTTTAAATTTTGAAAAGTAAAAAGAATGAAAACTTCACGACCACAGACCACCTCAAACCAGAAATACCTCAGAATTTTCTACTTGTGTAAGTTTTATTATATATTTTATTAGTTGTGTTGTCTCGTAGTAAGTATATTTTAATGTAAGTTGGCTTTTATGACAAGGAAGTTTGAAAGAAATAGAGAAAAAGAAAAAAAGTTCGAGTCTTCTAGGGAGTGCTACCATTTTTGTTTGATAACGCCCTCTTGTAAATAATTGTCATCAACTGTCGGTTGGCCGTCTGGGCCGTGTGGGCATTCGTCACTCTTGTTTGCGAAGGCTTTTCCCTCTGGTTTCTTGAGACTTTTATTTAAAAACTGGATCTTTTTCATCCTGAGGGTAGGCGAGTTGGTGAGGTTTTGGGGAGAGGTTGACTGGGGTGAGAATGGGAGAGGGGTGCCTCCTCTTGACTGACTTGGAGGTTCACATCTTTCCCTTGCCCCGATTGGTCAGTGTTCAGAATGGCAGGTAACCCCACTTTCACTTGGTCAGACCGTGGCCCTTAGACCCGCTTGAGGTAATTTTCCTTGGGCGGCAGTGATAGCGGAGGGGGCGGGCAGCACTGCGGCGACTCGGGGCAGCCTGTGACGGAGCAGCGTGTCCAGAGTGGTGAGTCCTAGCTGCGGCCTGGGGTCGAGGTCTGAGAGCACACGCTCCCCACTCCGCACGCCGTGTGCCTCTGGGGCCTGCCACTTGGCCGTGTCCTTTGCTCTGCGTGTTTGGGCACAGGGTGCTGTGGGAGGTGACTTTGTGGCCCTCCCAGAGCTCTGTTTTGGCTTCATGGGCCAGGCTGTGAGCTGGCCAAGGTGGTTACAGGGACAGGTCTTTTGTCGTCGTTGTTGCTGTTGGGTTTTTTTTTTTTTTTTTTGGTGAGCTGTTTTGTTTTTTTTTTTTTTTTTTTATTCTTTTCTTTTTCTTTCTTTTTTTTCTTTAAAAACTATTTTGTGCTGTGGTATTTTTCTTCCCTCGGAATAATTTTTAACAGCAAAACCGGCCTTACAGCAGTTGCTTTTCTTTTCCACTTATTTCTTTAAAAAGCTTTAAAATATTTATTGAAAAGTGCCATATCTAATTTCTTTAGCTTTCACCTCAGGCAGTGCATCTCTACTTTTCCGGCATCTGCTTTTCACCCTCAGAAACCAACAAACCGCTAACGTGTGTAGCTGATTCACTCATTCTAGCCAGTGTGGGACACGAAACCCCTGCCTCTCCATTTGTTTTCAGATTTTGTCTGGGTGACTTTTCTTTCGTGTACCGGCTTGATCCTTGTAAGAACCAGTTTGGGCCTGGCCGTGAAGGGTTGGGCCGTAGCCCAGGCGTGGGACCTGCTGGTCAGGACGCAGTACAGACAGGGCAGGCCTTCCTGTTGGCCTACAGGCCTTTTATCTGGGTGGGCTCCCTCTTTGCTGACCCTGGGCTCTGCTGCTGTGGTGGCTTTGGGGTCCTGGCACCAGAGTGAAGTGTCGAGATGGTTCCTGTCTGGTGGGGGGGGGTCTCGGGGGACCAGTTCTTCGGGCTTCAGGCTGCCTTTCCCTCGTGCTGTGTCGTAAAACGTACCCATCAGGCAGTATCCCTGACTGCTGCCGATGGCAGAAGAAGAAAAAAGATCTTTTTCCGGGGCACGCCCCTCGGAGCCTGGGTGGGTCTTTTGCCTCAGATAAAGTGTCTGCTGTCATGTATCCTTTGGGGAGCGAACCACTTAGAGCTCTGGTTTGTGTTTATCGGGTTGCAGGGCCTCTGCCTGTGCTCTTTTCCACAAAGATGTCACGCAGTGTCCACTTCTGGGGAGCTCAGAGAACCGCTCCCCCTCACCCCCCGAGCCCTTGTGGAGACTGGTGGGAATGGAGTCTGGCATCATTCTCCCTGTCTGTGGGAGAGGCTGCCCCATCTAGGGTGGGAGGGTGGCCAAGTCAGGGGAGAGAAGTGGCCAAAGATCCTTGCTCCTTCCTTTCTAGTGTTCTTCCATCCACACAGGCTCCTGGCTGTAGGCTGCTCTTTGGGGGAGAGTGTATTATTCGAAAGCACACATGATCACTGGGAAGACATCCTGAGCCAGAGAAATACGGGAATGAGCAAGAGGAGGAGGAAGCAAGGGGTGGGGGGGGGGCGGGGGGCGGGAACAGAAGCCACTGTGTCACAGTGTCCTGCAAAGAACTCTTAATGATGGGCCAGGAGAGGCCCTGGACACAGTCCTTAGGGACTAGCATCATCCAGGTTTTCTCCTGGGACCATTGGTCCCTCACAGGAGTCCTTCGAGGGAGCTACTCTGTGAGGGCTGTAGGTGGAGCCTTCTCGGGAGGAAGGGAGGCGGGCTGTCAAGGCAAGTGGTGAGCATCTCCGGCCTTCGTTGTTTAGCATGGCTTTCTTGTCCCATTGGTTCTGTAGGTGTAGTGCCTGGAGCGATCAGTGCTGCCTGGGGAGGGGATCCCCGCGTGTGCTGGCTGTGTCTGACCCAGAATTCCTCCTGTCTAGACTTGGGCATGTGTGTAGGACAATAGACGTCTTGTTCAGCTCAGAACATCTTCAGGTGGCTTGAGCCTCCTGCTGATGTGTTCTCAGCCCAGTGAAGGATCTGTCCTCTCCAGGCCACTGAGCTAGTTCCCTCCACTGCCCCTAGGGGCCAGGCCATTCTTTTGTCAAGCTTGTCATGTCATGTTTTAGAAAGCAAAGCAGGTGTTCCTGCAGTTCTGCGAGGTTACCTTTCTCTCCAGTTGCCATGTTCTTGCTCCTTGCTATCCCTACACTCTGCACTGAGCGCTTGGGCTGTGTGTGTGGGGTTTCTTTGGTGGGAAGCCCAGCTCTGTGTGTGTGTGTGTGCGTGTGTGCGTGTGCGTGCGTGTGTGCATACTTGCTGTGTGTACAGCTCAGAAAGCCTGTCACGTGGTCCCTGTGCTCTGAGCCATGAGGGTAGGGAGGCGGCTGTGCCATCTGGAACAGGAGGACCGGGTGGCCCTCTTGCAAATGGAATTCTGCCTTTCTTAGGATGCAGCGTAAAGTTCTCAGTACATTGGTAATATAAGGATTTGGTGGTTTTAGCAATACAGTAAGCATGTGTTAAGTTATATAAGGTTTTAGAATGGGTACTAGAAGTCGAACAGCCAAGTGTTATTCCTCAGAACTTGGCTCACTAGATGAGTATCTGAATTGGAAACCATTTCCCAGGAGTTAACTTCGTTTGATCCTCAGTCTCAACTATTTCAGTAGCCTGCTGGGTTCTTAATGGCTCATCTTTGGAAAGCTGGCCAGACCCAGTTCACATTTCAAGGGCCTCCTAGACCACATCTTTCCAAGAAGCACAGTCAATTTACTCGTCGACACCCCCACCCCACCCCCCATCCAGGGTGAGCATCGAGAAAGGAAAGAGGGCAAAGGTGGTTTTTTCTTCTCATTTGGGTGCCATGAATTCCTTGGTTAATGGCTGTTTGTAAAAGCTAAACTAATAAAATAGTAGCTAATCCGTGTTCAGCCTAGTAATGACGAGTTTAAGTCTTTATCAACAGTGACGTTTTAGGTCAAGAAACGGGCCCAGTAATGCAGCTGATGAACTATTTATCTTCTCAGTCTAGATCTAATAAATTCAGGGTTATATGCATGGTTGTTTCAGTAAGATTCCTGATAGTTGATTTGTAACCAGCAATCCACCTATGAATGTATCCCAAACCTTTAGAAGGCTTGGAATAGTTTTTTAAGATAACGATTTAGTTTTGTAGCAAAAAGAAACTGAAGTTTAAGATGCACCCAC